AAAAAAAAAAAAAATCTCTGATCTTACTCTGAGATCCTTAGGCTTGGTGTCTCCCTGGGAGACATAGGCCCCTGGCTGAGGAGGGATGATATAAAGTCGGGTAGAGGTAGGCATAGGGGCTGCTATGTGCTATGTTTCTACAGGTGGGACATGAAGGAAGACAAGGAGGAGCTGGACAGTCAGGAGGTGGGTACTTGGGCCTAGGATGGGGCAGGCTGGGAACCTGAGCCCTGAATTCACCAGCCAGCTGGACTGTTCTCTTGTTTCAGGGAAGCCAAAGGACTGGCAAGACCTCCAGTGAGGAGGAATGTGCACAGAAGCAGAGCGGGGTAGAGCTGGGCAGACCCGGGAGCACCCCAGGAACCAGCCCAGTTCTGGCACCCCCAGAAGGGTCCAAAGGAGAGTCAGGCACTCCTACAGCCAGCTCTGCCCCTGGCTCTCCACAGGAGACTGATGTGACTCCCCTTGACCTCTCCCTAGGAAAGGCCAGAAGCCCTGGACCTGCAGAGAGCACAGAGAGCACGTCTGTGCTCACTCCTAGGCCTGTGTCCCAGCCAGATGGTTCCCAGCAATCCCTGGAGTGCAACGACCATCAGGCTGCGCTGCAAGTCCAGACTGGCTCTGAGCCACACAGAGGAACAGGGACCCTAGAGCCCAGAGAAGATAGGCCTGGCAGGGCTGGGGCCCAGCGGGGCCTAGAACAGAGAAGCAGGGCCCCTAGAGGAACCAGCCAAAGGGCAAGAGGCACAGGAGGTGTGAGGAGAACAGGTGGTCCTGGCCCTGCAGGAAAATACTGAGCAAAGCCCCTGGGGACTGGGGACCCAAGTGGGGAGAGGAAAGGGGAAGAACTCACTCAAGTCTTCTATGTGATGGGTACCTGCTTGCTGGTGGGTTATGCCAATTGGACTGAGCAGTGTGGCAAACTCCACCAAGGCGACTTTGTGAGGGCCAGGAGGCTTCCTCCTACACCTCACCTGACCACCCCTGTGCACATGTGTTTTCATGTGCAGGTATAGCCCTGGTGTGTTCCCATGCTGGCACCTGGTGTCTGAGGCTGTGGCCTAGGCCTATTGGCACCCAGGCCGCAAGCTTTCTCTGTTGTGGTGAGAGACCAAGGCTTAGTAGCCCTCAACACCTGACTCTTCTGCCTCTCCATCATCCCCCCAAGGCCTGGCCTCCCTCTCCAGCTGCTGGATCCCTGGGTCCAGGTAGCCTCAATAGCTAATATGGCCAACCCAGGCGTGGACTCTCCTCATGGCCCTGCCTTGCACCCAGGTGACTCAGTCCCAGACTCACAGGATGGCTGAACCAGGGGACTCTCTGCCAGCTCCCTACCTCTTCCGAAGAGGAGGCTGAAGCCCAGAGAAAAGGAGGTCACCAAGCTGGCAGAGATTGGGCTGGGAATAGGAGAGTTCAGGTCTCTGAAAAGGAGGGCCTCTGGGAAGGCCTATTCTCTGAAATGGGGTGAGGGGGGCAACCTCCTCTCCCCACAGCAGGGTGGGAGAGCTCACTGACACCCCCTCTCCCCCACTCCCAGGTCGCATATTACATGCACCCTGATGAAGGCAAGGGTCATTTCCTGCCCTTTTCTACTTCTCCTTTCCCTCTACTTCCCCACACAAGGGCCAGGCAAAAGCCAGGGCTCAGATCGGGATTCAGGAGACAGAGAAACAGTGGCTCCAGCTACTCATGACTTCAGGACTTGTCTTTCCTACTTAGTCTCCATCTGGCCCCTCCCCTGAGGCCCACGTCTGGTGAATTATCCAGACTCCGCACAAGCTGTGGCTTCCTCTCAATTCAACAAACATTTCCTGAGCACCCACTACCAGTAATCCAGCCGGTAGGCGATGGTGACTTTGCCAGCAAGAGGGAGGGAAGAAACTCAGTCATCCGGTAGCTCTGAGCTGAACAGCAGGAGCTGTTCTCAGCTTTAGGTGCAGGACAGGGCTGGGGGGAGGATAGTGGTAGGAGCCCAAAGGAACCATCCACTGCTGCTTGGCAGAGGCAGGCCCTCTTCTTTCTTGTTATCCTGCCCTCTGCCTCAAGCCCTTGCCTGGGTCTTACCATGTGGTCCCTTCTGCTCTCCTCCTTTCTGGTCCTGCCACAGTTGTCTCTCTCTGCAGAGAGTCATGGGCCTCCTATGCCCCTCTGAGGGTCTAGGAGAGTCTCAATCAAACCCAGGACTTCACTATTGGGGTAGCTGAGGAGGGAATATTACTTCAGCAGATCAGACCTTTTAGAGTGCCTCTCACATGTTAGCATGAAGTGTAATGCAGATTTTAATTCTGTGTTCTGGGGAGGGCCTAAGCATTTGCATTTCTAACAGGTTCCAGGGGAGGCCCATGCTACTGGTTCCTGGACTATACTTTTGCATAGTAAAGGTTCCCACTATGTTGTATGATGTCAGTAGGGCTGGAGGCAAAGACAGACCCTAGGTGGGTTGCTGGCTATGTAGGGGTTGAGGGGAGTGTTACCCCTGCCAGGTGGTGGAGGATTCCTGGCTTCAGAGTTGGGTGGGAAGCTTAGAGTCCTGGGGAAAATGCTTTGGAGGGCAGCGAGTACGTGGTGCTAACTTCCTGTAGTGCACAGTGAGAAAGCTGGTCAAAAAGGGGATGGGCGAAGGGTGTGGAAGAGGTTGGTGTGGGGTTGATCAGAGGAATTTTGGAAAGGCTTGGAAACATTTCTGTGTGTGAGACATACTCAGGCCTGGGTAAAGACTCCAAACTCAAGTTTTTCTCTTGTCTTCCAGTCATAAGTATATGACTTTGGCGTGTGGTCCAGGCCTTGGATTCTTTGACTCTAAAAGGATGGAGTCAGTATAGAGCAAGTTCAGGCAGAGCCCTTGAATTCAGGTATCTCCAGAAATGATTATGATCAAGAATTGAAGTTCTGGCTCGGCACCTGTGGCTCAAGCGGCTAAGGCGCCAGCCACATACACCTAAGGTGGCGGGTTTGAATCCCCAGCCCGGGCCCGCCAAACAACAATGATGGC